CACACAGACTGTGAGTCCTTCAACGGTGCAGTCTGACTATTCCCAGATGAGCACTTATTGGGTAATATGGAAGGTGTCGCTGGGCATTAATAACAGGTGTCTTTGCACCTGCTGAGCACACTACTAATGCAGTGGCTAAAGTTTGCCGTAGAATAGGTTTGCGCATTAAGACACTCCAGTTGCAAGGTCCGCTAGTATCTTTATACATTCTAACAACTAGTCCGCTGCAAGCCTATTGTGCACCAATTTACTGTAGTGTGAGAAAAGGGCGATTGCTATCAAACAAAATGGTTGTAGCGGTCATTTACAAAACGATTATTGGGTTCTAATTTACAGCGCTCCTAGGCACGACGCTGCAACACACCTCAACTTGACCCGCTCTAGCTGAGGAGGATAAAAAGGAAAATCTGCCACCCTATTCGAGATACTATACAAGCGAACCTAAGTCACTAGCCTGCGCGTAGAATTCAAACACGGTTAGTAATACTGCGTCCAAAATAGCCGTAGCGTATTAAACGTAGAAGAACAGGAACCCAGCCACGCAAGATATCCTACTTTTCGTTTATGGAACCTTTTGAAACAGGTTGCCGTTCAAGCTTTGTGAGGGCCAAGTACCTGAACTCTTTCGTAGAGCTTTGCGGTTTTTAAAGGTTAAAATAATTAGCTACCTACTGGAAGTTGACATCAACGAAGAAACGGCGAAGAAAAACGGACTAGTTGACTATTGAGCTATCGCGCCACCCAACATTGCCTCCTATAATATGCTTATGTTTTATCTTCTAACCCCCCAACCTTCTTCCAGCAGGCTCTCCCATGGCCTACAAATCCGCCAAAATGTACAATGTTGCCAAAACACCTGTCTGAACAGCCGCGTTCTACCCATTGCTCGATTCCCCAATCTTACCTAGAACCTGCATTCTGATTCTGAAATCCTAGTCATATTTTGGTCCCTTCCTTTTCTATACATTCCCATGCTTCCCGACCATCGGTTCCATTTCTTATTGTCCTATAACTGGCAGGCTTATATTCTCCGCCTGAGTATAGCAAGCTTTCTCCGTAGGTTATTGTGCACGCCTTCCGACGCCTTACCTTCAGTCCGAGTATTGGGAATGCTTATGGCAGCCCGCGCTATCTGACTCTAACCCAGCCTACTAATTATCACTTAACCAATAATGCCTCAGACTGGTATTTCCAGTGCCGAAACCTTCCTGCATCGCTCATTACCTTGTTTTATAACCTTATTTGTACCGTTCCCATAGTTCTCATACTTGTCCTCACTCTGATTACGGCAAACATTATGGCAATCGGGCCTCGGCTACTCACTTTCTTTCGAGATATTTCCGCATCATGCTTTATGGGAACATTCTTATCCAGTTTGGCCAACTCGATTGCGCTAAGCAGGGCTGTATGCATGTTCGAGCATCTGATAAGCCATAGACCGCGGAATCCTGTGCTTCAAATGGTCCGGTCGCTTGCTTAGCCACCTTACTCCATTAATACAGGCATTTTAACCTTCACCCTTCTGCTCCATGACTGAAAGTAGCATGTGTAGCCGTGCTTCATCGTAAGCTGTAGTCCGCTTTATGAGGGCGAGTTTAAGGCTATCATACTGCGATGCTTTTGGCATCAGAGCAGGAAGGACACTTACCTCTGAGGCTATCTGGGACAGCTAAGATATGAGGCACAAAAATTTCGGCGGTTGACAAGTTAAGTTATGAAATCGGATACTGGCGTCTAACTAAATAAACCAAACACGCGGGTTTGAAAAATCAAAGTGAGTAACAAAAAACCCACGGAGTTTTCACACGGTTCCGGGAGCAGCGGGGGCAGGCCTAATTAAAGAGTAACCGAAAGAAAAGCAATCAAAAACAAGTACATGGCCGAGATCACCAAAAATAATACCTGACAGATGCCATAACCGCTCAAAGGAGAATCGTACCTTAGTGCGGTTAGACACAGTCAGGTAACGATTGGAAAAGTCAGCAAACTTACCAAAACGGAGAAATTCTAGACGGATCCGTAAACTGAGCCTCGGCCATTGTTAAAATCAAGCACAACAATCCGAATGGCACAACGTCGCTGAAACAAGAAGGCGAACGAATTCGAAGAGACATCTGGCTGGATGTGTGTGTTAAAGCAAATGTAAAATGCTTGACAGAAACTAGAATGGGAAGTCACAATGAAAGACGCAAATATTTATAAACACTACGGCATCGCGGATGGATATCCATCTCCTAATGTTTGCACATACGTAACCACTTCTGACCTATATATTCACTCATATTGCTTGACGTGCTGGAACAGCTACGACCATATAAATCGCTAATGCGATAGCCGTTATGAAGTCAAAACCTCATCACACGCCGTTGCTTTGGTCAACATTAGGAACACTTGCGTTCGACCTTCTAAACAGATGAGCTGCCATAAGGTCAAAGAAGTTAACCATATTGTGCTCTAACATACGGAGTACAATAATCCTTAGCGTTTGAAAACTTATCTATCACAGTCATAACCATTGACCTACCAAACTCATTGTGTATGCAGATGAGTATCAAAGCCAAGCCCGTAAACTTGTTACGAATTACTCGTCATCCGAACTCGCCACACTATGGTGAACCCAGACTTATTCGAGTAACTGTAGAATCCTCCACCGACGTAGAAAACGTTTTGCTCTCCGCAAGCGCGCTAAAACACGAATCCCGTGCGATACGTATCTATCCTGATGTCCCTTGGAGCGCGCGACAATCAAAAAGAAACATCGAAGAGGGGCACAGCAAGCAAGACCGCCTAAACACATTCTTCATACATGGAGTGCCAGAACATCCTTCTAACCATGTTCAAGAGACCGGAAAGCACGATTTAGAACAGTGGCGGTTCATTCGTGAAACACTTTCTTTGGATGATGTTGTGGCACTATCGCTCACCAGGATACCTCTCTCATCGAATTATAGAGGATGCGGCCCTAGAATCCTAAAACTTGTGGTTCAGTCAGAGAAACAAGCAAAGGATGTTTTGGATCCATGGCGAAGAAATCGGAAACATCTTCCTTCCGAAATTCGGTTAAAGGTCGCAAACAATTCGCATAGCTCAAGTATTAAAGCAACTGAAGCAGCAAGCATACTGACGAACGTACATAAGTGTAACTTGACTGCTGCTTTAATTGACTCTGAAGTAGGTCTAAATGAAGGCTGGGACGCACCTTGGCCGAATCAAGTTGCAAACGAGGTATCATTGACCCATCAAAAAAACAAATAACTTCCGACCTCCCATCGGTCGGCATTCTCCCACACTTGACAGCTTCACCTCACTGCGGGCTCCTAGAGACCGAGAAACTGGCCTGCTTGTATACAAATCCTCAGGGACTTTCTAACAAACTGGCTGAACTGAAAAATCGCCAAGCTTCCGGCTCGTATGATGTCATTGGTATCACCGAGACATGGTTGCACACGGGAATGACGGACGCTGAAGTGTCGCTACCGAGCATGTCGCTGATCCGGAACGATAGGCTCACAAAAGGAGGAGGGGTAATCCTGTACTACCGAAACGACTTACAGTGCGAAGCCGTGAAGGATTCAGATTCGCAGTTCTCCGACTCTCTTTGGTGCCGGTTGCAGTTAAAAGGCAGGGACGCTTGCCTTATTATCTTGGTGTACCGCGCCCCTAACTCAACACCCGAAACCGACTACCACCTAATGGCTGCGTTAAGGTGCAGTTTACAACAACAGTACACTCACATTCTTATCATGGGTGATTTCAACGTACATCGTTTAGAAGCCCCTGCCACAACCGGCGAACAATTCAAAACCGATTTACAAGATCTAGTAACTACTGCTCCTCTTTACAACCACATCACTTTGCCCACTCGGTTCAGAACTGGTAACACGCCATCTGTGCTGGATCTTGTGCTTACCAACGAGGAGCATATGATTGATATGTTGGTTGTAGACTGCCCGTTGGGTCGCAGTGATCACGCAGTCATCAGTTTTAACTTCGTCTGCTATGTAGAATATCGGAATGATAACGATGATACTGTGCGAACCATCACAAGGTACGACCGACTCGCCCAGCTAGTCAGCGCCACAACATGGTCTTTCCTCGAAGAAGAACCCCCAGAAGTCGCCTGGCTCGAGTTCGTCGACACATTCAGTCAGCTGATTGCACAGGCTTCAGAGATAAAAACCTACAATAAGTGCAAAGCAGTTTCATTCGTTAGGAGCAGAACCCGAAAATGGATGACAGTACGCAACGCAGCATGGCGAGTGTACAGAGAAGCTCCAGCACCAGAAACGTGGGACAACTACGTAGCCCAACGTAACCACTGCACTCAACTGTTAAGAGAAGACAAAGCCGCCTATCAGCAGAACGTCGCAACAACCTTCAGTGCTAACCACAAACTGCTGTACAAGCAAGTTAATAGCCCACGAAAGGTGA